GAGCGTTTGGAGGGTTTTGAGGGTTTGAGGCCTGGCAAACGGCAGCCTTGAACGCCTATAAGAAGCCATTGCTGCGGCCGGAAGGTGCCCTTGAGCCATTGCTGTGGCCTTGTGGTGGCTTTTGCATGCGGGAGTGGCGCGTGTTGGGCTTGTTGGGGTACCTTGTCCCTGCGGAGCTATGCGAACTTTTGGAGCGTTTGGAGGGTTTTGGAGGGTTTGAGGCCTGGCAAACGGCAGCCTTGAACGCCTATAAGAAGCCATTGCTGCGGCCGGAAGGTGCCCTGGAGCCATTTCTGTGGCCTTGTGGTGGCTTTTGCGTGCGGGAGTGGCGCGTGTTGGGCTTGTTGGGGTACCTTGTCCCTGCGGAACTATGCGAACTTTTGGAGCGTTTGGAGGGTTTTGGAGGGTTTTGGAGGGTTTGAGGCCTGGCAAACGGCAGCCTTGAACGCCTATAAGAAGCCATTGCTGCGGCCGGAAGGTGCCCTTGAGCAATGCTGTGGCCCCTTGTGGTGGCTTTTGCGTGCGGGAGTGGCGCGTGTTGGGCTTGTTGGGGTACCTTGTCCCTGCGGAGCTAGGCGAACTTTTGGAGCGTTTGGAGGGTTTTGGAGCGTTTGGAGGGTTTTGGAGGGTTTGAGGCCTGGCAAACGGCAGCCTTGAACGCCTATAAGAAGCCATTGCTGCGGCCGGAAGGTGCCCTTGCGTTTGGAGGGTTTTGGAGGGTTTGGTTAGGCTTGTTGGGGTACCTTGTCCCTGCGGAGCTATGCGAACTTTTGGAGCGTTTGGAGGGTTTTGGTGCGTTTGGAGGGTTTGAGGCCTGGCAAACGGCAGCCTTGAACGCCTATAAGAAGCCATTGCTGCGGCCGGAAGGTGCCCTTGAGCCATTGCTGTGGCCTTGTGGTGGCTTTTGCGTGCGGGAGGGGCGCGGGTTGGGCTTGTTGGGGTACCTTGTCCCTGCGGAGCTATGCGAACTTTTGGAGCGTTTGGAGGGTTTTGGAGGGTTTGAGGCCTGGCAAACGGCAGCCTTGAACGCCTATAAGAAGCCATTGCTGCGGCCGGAAGGTGCCCTTGCGTTTGGAGGGTTTTGGAGGGTTTGGTTAGGCTTGTTGGGGTACCTTGTCCCTGCGGAGCTATGCGAACTTTTGGAGCGTTTGGAGGGTTTTGGAGGGTTTTGGAGGGTTTGAGGCCTGGCAAACGGCAGCCTTGAACGCCTATAAGAAGCCATTGCTGCGGCCGGAAGGTGCCCTTGAGCCATTGCTGTGGCCTTGTGGTGGCTTTTGCGTGCGGAAGTGGCGCGTGTTGGGCTTGTTGGGGTACCTTGTCCCTGCGGAGCTATGCGAACTTTTGGAGCGTTTGGAGGGTTTTTTGGAGGGTTTGAGGCCTGGCAAACGGAGCCTTGAACGCCTATAAGAAGCCATTGCTGCGGCCGGAAGGTGCCCTTGAGGAGCTATGCGAACTTTTGGAGCGTTTGGAGGGTTTTGGCTATAAGAAGCCATTGCTGCGGCCGGAAGGTGCCCTTGAGCCATTGCTGTGGCCTTGTGGTAGCTTTTGCGTGCTGGGCGTGTTGGAAAAGTTCCACACCTGCGGTGGTCCCAGGCGCCGCCCCGGCCTTGGCGAAGGCCGGGGTCGGCGGATATGATATATATGTATTACATATATTAAAACACAGGAACTGTTTGTTGAAATTCCAAAAGACCGGAACGAGATTATCCCATTCAGTAGGTGGTAATCCTACTCCCGAAACAGCTGAGGTGAGCTTCCAAGTAGCTTCCTTTCTCCATGGTTTAACCCACTCCCACCGCATCTTCACATCCGCCAGGACAGCCTCCGTTCGAATTGCGGCCTAAGGCACATTGGCCCCAAGTCGGGGAAATCCTCGTGGTTGCAGAAAAGTTCCACTTAGGAATATCTTGAATGCTGGATGTAATTTTATGTTTTGCCGGTATGTTAATTAAGATGCGAGGGTACACACCTTTAAGATTGTAGAGACTTCTTGACATTGGGTTGAAACGAGTGTTGATTGGGCCACTTCAACATGTTGACATTGGTAGAATATGACCAGAAAGATATGGACATTGAGCCATCGATTGCTAAGAAGCGTCACTGGCTTTTGCTGAAACTTTGTAAGGCCTAGATGCGGTGTGATTGACGCAGCATTAAGAGATGTTCCCTTTGTTTCGAATGATGCACCCGGCAGTGATGCCGGCTCAAGACTTGAAACAGAGTTGAACAATGTAGTTTTTGAATGGCAAACTGTCTGACAACGGACCAGCTTGCCAAGTTTTATTTGGTTTCACATGTTTATCTAGCAAAGGCGTCCATTTGCTTCAAGAAACTTGTAGAAATACAGGTGTGAAGCCGTTGGCAAGCCATTGCTAAGCCATTCTGCAGCGGATCACAGACTGAACCATACGCAGCTCATGGTTGAATCAACGAAGAGGGCATTTTCTTGTTGTTGTCTCAAAGACATAATGTGGTGATCGATAAACTGTCCACGTTCACTGTGGTTAGCAATGATGATCCTACTGTGATGTGCAGCTGCAGTTTTTAGGCGCCAGACCTTTTCTCCAATTGGAGAGGTTTCAGAGTTGCCTGACCCAAACGCGTTTTTCGGGAAAACACACGTATCAGAGGGATTCCTTGCTTAGGACAAGGCATGCCGGCCTCTGAAGACAGGGAATGCTCGAGATCGACCGGGGAAGCTCATGGTAGCTATGGCGCTAGAGCCCGGACTGTCGTTTGGAAAGGAATAATGTGTCCATATCATTCTATATATCTTCTTTTTGACTTTGCAAACCCCTCCAAACGAAACGAAACACCGTATCAATCCGTAATCATTTTTGTATTTAGACATAAAATATATGTATATATTGATCAATACCAAATTTTGCCAGAAATGGGATGGTATAATAATCCCCCAATTGGAGGCTAATCCCTTCATGAATCCCCCCGAGTATTCAACAGAGCCTAAAGGAAACCACGGTGGATGTACTGTAGGGAATTTCCACATCGTTGGGACCATGCACTGGGGGTGACTGGGTGACCTCGCGCGTCGGCAGCTGGTTCAATAAGCTCACGCATATCAAAGATGAGATTCACAGCTCAGCTGCATAAACAACGAACAGAACGTGAACAAATATCAACAAAAGGCCGGAAACTGTAAATGAAGATATCAAGACATATCAAGACATATCAAGATGGTGAATACAAAAAAGTGTGCACATCATAACGTAAATTCAGTGTTGTTGTCTCCTGCGGATCTGAGAACCCTTAAGCCATCAGCCAAAGTCAAGCCACTCCCACTGCTAGTGCTGTGCTGACTTACCCCTACAGCCTATCACCAAAAGCGTGACTTTGCACTGGAAGGACAGCACCATCCGCGCTATTAGGGGTGGCTTGCCAGTGGGAACACACTGAATTTCTAAGAACTGATTTCAGGATGTTTACCCTCTGGTTATGTCAAAATAGCTATTGAAAATGGCAATTTATAATTGATTTTCCCATCATTTTTTAAAACAAAAATCCATAGTTATGTAAACAATTGTAAACGTTTACCAGAGGCTAAGCCTAAAAAAAACCCATCTTTTTAAAAGCCCTATATATTTTGGGGTCAAAGTCATTTACTGCCAGAGAGATGGTGGGACCATGGTGCCATGATGATCCGTGGGATCCGTGACACATCCCATCACCCCAATATGCGAACCATGGTGCTGGAATATTTATCAACATGATCAACATTTCCCTTCAAAAAATCAATCAAAATCAACCAGTTTTGTAGGTAAATATACCAGCACCATAGAGCATTTGGGATATCAAACACCCGATTTTTATGCTCCCAATATGTCCCAATTACGTGGAAAATACATGAAATTCCGCTCAGGATCACTGCAACACATGGCATTGAGCATTGCCGCGGGAGTGCAGGAGTATGTCCAGGAGAGAACAGTTATTGGTTGGACTTGTGATTTCTTCACATCTGCCGTAGTTTTTGCATGGATCAATTTTTTTTCAGGCCCTAGGAATACAGATTGACTAGTCATTACTGGTCATTTTGCGTATTGATCCACCATGAATCAGAATCCATCCATTCAAATTGTAAAAAGCCATCAGCATGTCGAAGCCATCAGTATTAGCATGTTTTCGCCATACTTATTTAAGCCAAACTTTGAAGTCATCAAAATCTGCTAATATTTCATCTTGAAGTAGATAGAGTATGGACAGGTCTACCTAAATCATCACTAACATGGGAATATCTTTGAAAGTCCCATATTATTGGTGTCATGTTCAGAGCGCAATACCAGCCAGGTGTTGCACATCGATGTAAATTCATTAACTCTACTGTAAGAAACCCGTTAACTATGCATATTGTATCATATTGTCAATATTGTTGACTATCTCTCGTGCTATCCCCATTATATCCCAAAAAATCTATTCCATGATGGCATATCATATCCATTTAAAATCCATTTACCACAGATATTGGCCCAATATTCACATGATATCAATCCAACGGATATGTCTATCATTGGTGATCTATCTTTAGGCGCGTCATGACTGGCATCTTCTCCTCTTACGCGGCAGGCCATGGTGGACCGAATCTCTGGAATGAAGGTCCTGATCCTCGATGAGGAGACCATAGGCGCAGCGCACGGCGGATGCTTAGGGATGGGTTGATGAGTATTTTTTTGCTGCTGTTTGTGGTCTGGAACACCAGAAAATCATGATCCGAACATCATATCCTCCAGGATCAGTGTTTTTCTTGTGTATCTTAGAGATGAAAAAGATGTGGCACTATGATGCCGGGTTGGTTGTCTGGAGGCATTATCAGCATTGTCTACTCGCAGAGCGACATCCTGAAGCATGAGGTTCGAGAATCACCAATGGCCAGCATGATGACCATCAGTTTTTTCGTTCAAAGCTGCAGCGCACAGCTTTGAACAGTTCAGGATAGTTCAGGTGCATTCATGTGCATTCTTGTTGGCAATTTTTGCGGCTTCATGTCTGGCTCAAGTAGGAGCTTGACATAATGTGCTTAGATGTCATGCCTCACCACAAAGCACCCCTCACTTAGAACTAGCATAACTAGCGCTGCTGTTGAGCCTCGGCATGACAACCGCCATCCATCCGCCAACTTCACATATAGGGTGTTCTCTTTAGGTTGAGTGGACAGTGTAGCTGGTGTCTGAACGAACTGCTCTATATATCAGTCTCAGAACATAATTAAATAGAATAGCTTAACTTCTTGAGCCTTATAGCAACCCCCAAAAGATAGAAGTACACTAGTGCTAAATTACACCTTTCCTATCTATTCGGACGTTGCTTTCATCACATTTTGCACACAACTGAGCTGCGCATAGCTGTGCCGCCGTGGTTGAGGCAGGGCACCACGACTTGAGATTCCAAGTACCAGAAAATATCATAAAGCATCCCTTGCTTCAAGATTTAATATGGTTTAACATTGTTTAATCTGGTTTAATATGGTTTAAGTTTAATCACATGTAGTTTATGGAGATCTTGATCCGAAGATCACATTAAAATCAGTCCAACACTGATGCGGCAACGACTTCAACGGCACGTCCCAGGATGCAACCGGAACCTGAGCCAGTGGATACAGCCATTGGCGCCAGTGTGGCCCTTGGCACTCCAGGCCACGCGGTTGATGATGTATACCATTTCCAAATGTTTTTTGTTACTAAGCATGACAATGCCGTCTGAACTTTATATAACAACAGTAATAATGACAACACTACTGACAATAATAATGAAAATAGTGACAAACAATAACAATGATAAATAATAATACCCTATTATATGTTCATGTGTAATTATTGTTTATGTATAGTTTTATGGATCTTTCAAGCATGTCAGCCAAGATGAAATGATCCACTGGGAGCCGGGGGTGTGGCCACTTGGAGGTGCTGATGGAGTGCCAGTTCTGGTTTCTGTCGAACCACCACCAGGCTGTTTTGTTTAGACAAAGTCTGAACTCAAAAATGAGCAGTGTTCGAAACCCTGGTTGGTTGATGATTATCTGGAATATTATGGAATTATACTACCCAATATACGGGGGATTGTTGATGATTATATGGAATTATACTACCCTTTACATCCCGGGAATTATCGTATTCCAATCGATGGATTCAATGCATCCGACCCCGATGTTACTTTTCTACTTCCTTCTTCACTTCCTTCACTTGAGATCGGCGGGACAAAAACGGCGGGGTCTGTATTTCTTTTCACCGGCAGCAAAAGGATCTGGGATTGCTGCAGCGGTATTTGTTGCTGGGGCCGAAGGAAGTGCAAGAACAGCATCGGATATCTGTTGCGTCGTGGACGTGCCTGTTGCCCAGCAACTGACGAAGTCGGACGACGTGACGACAAGATTTCTCTGACATCCAGCGAACTTTGAGCCACTCTCTGTTTGAAAAAGTTCTCGGGCTATGAATCTAGTCTTCATTTCGCCAAAGAAGTTAAATCATCAATAGGTCGTTCTTCGTTTTCCCGGCATTCAATGAGCATTCGATACCCATAGGATCCATGGTGCTGGTATATATGCTAACATTGGGGGTATATTGATGGGATCCATGTTACCATATATAGCAGCACCATGGATCCTATGGGATAGTAAAATCCATTGGTTTCTCCTCATTTTCCCTCTGGTTTCTCCACCTGTGAACTCGCCCAGGTCAGGCTCCATGAGCAATGACGCTTTGCTCCAGGGAGAGGATGGCACTATGTGGGGGGCCATGAAGGGCCTGTCGTCACCCAGGTGGGTTGATGCTTACCAGCCATATACCACCCATAAACATGGATAAACATGGTCCAATTGGATATCCATTGGATAAACATGATCCATATACCACCCATAAACGGATAAAAATGATTATGTGGTTGATTTTTTTGTGGATCATTTTTGGGTGATTCATGGGTGATGAAGCCTCCATTTCATGCGTCCAATGCCCCAAAACGAGGGTCAAACTTGGGTTTTGAGTTTTAGGTACCTATGCACTTACGCACGATATGTTTCTACATGCTTTCTATATGCGAAACGAATGCATTTGAATTTCTTTTGAATACGACTTAAAAAAATGAAATATGGGGCTGTTGCCACTTGGGAACAGTTTGAAAAAACGCTGCAGTAAGGCCAGTAAGGGTCTATTATTAAGGACTTATCAACCACCAATAGCCAGTAGTAAGAGCCATCTACAATTAATCACATTTATAATCACCATTATTTACCAATAACCAGTATTAACCATCAATTATCTCAATGAACATACTGTAGGGGTGAATCTTAACCAATGTTTCTGGAGTCACCGGTCACGGAAATCAGGTCCACGAGCCATGGCTTGTCAGTGCTGGACATCGTGAAGCACGCCTTGCGGACAATCATTGTCCGCCGGCCAAGACGACTGACGGCGCAACATTTGAGGATCAGTCACCAAAGTAGGTAATACAATGTAGTACATGTATATCCCATAGGATCCATGTATGGTATATATGCTAACATTTGGGGTATATTGATGGTAAATGTTACCATATATAGCATACATGGATCCTATGTATATCACATGTTTTATGTGATGTTGTCAATATATGTCAATATGAACATGCGTAACATTGCGTAAATGATGTACATTGATGTTGAATGCTAAGTAAATAACTGAGCCAAATAACACCGAGTCAGTTCCAAAGGTGCTCCTTAAGCGTGCAGAGACTGGAACCTGCGTCAGGCCAACCTTGATGATTTTGACCGCCTCGTTAGGTACTCAGTGATGAATGGTGATTCATCCACTCAAAATGGGGGGCTTTACCATCAACAATAATAAGGATTTAACCAATGAATGGTAAAGGTACATAGGTTTGTCTGAAACTTCAAGGGGAAACTCCAAAATGCCATGAGTAATCATCATTGTTCCACTTGTATTAGCTTTTTAGGGGTATATGCCCCATTTTCAGACACACCCACATGGAGTCGTGAGTTTTGACACAACCCTGCAGGGTGCCCGGGAGATATGGGAGATTTGCACAAGGCCTGCGTGTCTTACTCCAACTCGGCCAAAGAGATTTTCCCACTGACGACGATGACGGACAACGGCAGGAACAGCGGTCAAAATGATTGACCCGAAGAATGGTTACCCTCTGGTAAATTAACATAGACCCTGAAAATAGCCTAGTTTTAATATGTTTTAATGGAAACTAATCTTCCAACCCCGTTTTCTGCCAGGGTCTATGTTAATTTACCAGAGGGTACAGAAAAACACCAATTCTTGGGAGGTTCTGCCTGGTATACTCCAATATTGATCCATACCGCCGTGAAGTATGCGCGGTGGATGTGTCAAAGTTGTCATCTTTGATTCGATTTCAGTTGATTGCTGGCGATGCATTCTGTTTTTTGGATATGTTTGGTATTTTTCTTTCCCCACTCTGGCTGGTTACTGTAGAGCCATTAATATCCATTACCCTCTGGTAAACAAACATAGCTATTGAAAATGGCCATTTATAGTTGATTTACCGATTAAACATGGTGATTTTCCATAGTTATGTTAGTTTACCAGAGGGTAATCATTAATCTATCACCAGACTTCAGCGCGGCCATGTGGTGAGGAGACTCACAGAGTCAAAGTTGGACGATTTGCATGCTGATGGCATCTTGGTCTTGTTGTTTTCAGATTGTTTGAGATGTAGTGACCCTAGTGGAACATAGATAATTTAGTATACTGTGATAAATGCACCTGTAAAGTACATTGTTGATTACCATTGACATTGTTGAATATGATTGGCTCATATTGGCTCTATGTTTCGAAACTATATCTTGCAGAAAACACTAGTGCTTTTTTTTCTAGCCTAGGCCTAGCCATTGAATTTCTGAAACCAACCGGGATGGCCATCCGCTTAGGAATGACCAACCTTTGGGATGGCCTACAAAGTGGCGACAGCACTCAGCGACAGCACCCATGACGGATCCATGGATCCCATCAATATATACCAGCACCAGCCGGATCCGTCATGGGTTATGATCTATATGTTATAACATGTTTAATAATATAACATGAAATAATATGTTATACATTATATAACCATATATCAGTCTAATCTTTCTGTGACTGTTCCGTTCATTCATGAGAAGCAGACTTCAGCCGTGCTTGATACATTGTGTATATGCATATGTATAAACTGTGGCTGCAATGATACTACAACCTGAGTCTTCGATGTGATGTGTACCTAATGTAGGCTAGGCAGCTGAAACGTAGCATTTCATACAGAAGGTAAGAAAGGTGGACCACATATTTACAATAGAAAAATATCATAAAATATCTATATACGCATATGGTACGAATTGTGAGTTTATGTCGTGTAATGTTTTGTTATGCGTGTGATTTATGATTGATTACATTACATATACGTTATATATGATTAACAGATACATATGGACTTGTCTACAATCACAGCAAGGTCTGCAACTTCTAAAGAATGGTCAAGATGGCGACCACAGTCGCAGGCAGCATGTCAAACGCTCAGTGTTGTGGAAAGGGACTTCTACGTTATGACATGCCTGGGGTAAGCTCTTAAATATCACGTAGCTATGAAATTTATGAAATTTATGAATAAGCTACAGTTTCTCTTGGAACTGATAAATGATCTGATCCATTTCCATTTAATGATCTCCATTTCCATTTACAGTTTCTCTTGGAAATGATAAAAAAATAATGATCCATGATCCATTCTACATCTCCATTTAATAACTCACTGTAGGTAGGCTATATTTTTCGCTACAGGACTCAGGGGATGGCTCCATCACGTGGCTCTGGCCGTGGCTCCGCCGAGATTTTGCTGTTCACGGATGGCATGCCCAACATCAACCCTCCAAGAGGCGGGTGCTTTTTGTGGGGTGGAAATCTGTGTGGTTTTTTTCGGAAAATCCTCAAGAAAGAAAAAACACTTAAAAGCAATCAAAAGCATGAAAACCACCTATTTTGGTAGGATTTGCCGGATTTACATGGATTTACCGCTTGTTTACTATTTGACATGGGGTTTCTATAGTCATGTCTGATACAGACAAAGTAGAAAGGAGATGACGCCTGATCCAGCTGTGGAGTGGTTGAGGCATTTTGCCCATGCTGAAGCGATTGAAGGAGAAGAGTGAGGGCAGAAAATTGCTGAGACCTCAGAGTTCTAACATGTTCAAGGCTGCAAGGCTTAAGTTTGTCTAAATATGGTGCACGTCATGGTACTCCCAATTCGGATTACCCTCTGGTAATTTAACATAGCTAATGAAAATGGCCATTTATAGTGGATTTTCCCATAAAAAAAATGTGATTTTCCATAGCTATGTTAATTTACCAGAGGGTATCATGTATTGGACTATTTAGAATTATAGCCACAAAGGAAAAGGAGCATTGCTGATGTGACTTCTTTATCTAGCCATGTTTCCATCGTATCTGGAGTGTTTTGAGCAACCCGGTATCAACATGTATCATAATCTTGTCAATGTTGTCAATCAATATAATAAATACGTATACAATCAGAGTATATCAAAGTTGCCTTTTTTAAGGTTACCTGGTTGGTGGTTTCAAACATTTTTTATTGTTCCATTATATATGGGATGTCATCCTTCCCATTGACGAACTCCATCATGTTTCAAGATGGTGAAATTGCACCACCGACCAGCTATAGATATATCACCTATAAACCATAGTTATTGATAGATATATCACCTATAAACCAATAGATATATCACCTATATATCACCAGCATGTTCGTTTTCGCCACTGCCAACCATTCAAGCTAGCTCGCCACGTGCCGTTCCGTGCGGCAATGGCAACCCAGGCCGTGCACCGTCAGCACCTTCGGCTTCGGTTATGAGTTGGTCAGGGGGCCCAGGGGGCGGCGAAAGGGCCGCGACGAGGGGACGCAGAAAGTGGCCGGTGGTTCAGAGTTCGGAAACTCTGGAGATTTTATGATGGAATAACTGGTTGGTGGTTTGGAACATGCCTATGAATTTCCATATTGGGAATTTCATCATCCCAACTGACGAACTAATATTTTTCAGAGGGGTAGGTCAACCACTAACCAGTATTTATCAATAGGATTATAGTACTATTATTGATCCATATAATTCCAAATAAATCCATATAAATCCATATAAATATAAATCCAACCAGGATAATAATGGGATGTGGATATGGGGATACCCTCCACGCTATGTTCCCATGGCCCATCTCTGGTAGGACAGCGCCCTGCTCAACGATTTGGCAATGGAAGGTCTCTTCGATTCGGTCGACGGGTCCGCTGAAGTGAACAATACAATGGATCTTTTGCTGTAGTGAACAATCTAGTACCATGGTACATCATGGTACACCGGTGAATGGATCTGGTTGGTGGTTTGGAACATGAATTTTATTTTTCCATATATTGGGAATAATCATCCCAATTGACTTTCATATTTTTCAGAGGGGTTGAAACCACCAACCAGGGATGTTTATTATTGTTCTATAGATTCCTATAAGTACCTCAAGGTACCTTAACATCTTGTTTCAATGGTGCACTATGATTTACCATTGGGTAAATGGATGTTCTCCCACACATCCGGTATACTTTTTCGGTTCTGACTTTTGGATACTTTTGGCACATCCCCAAGGCCGATTTGGATCAACCAAGTGGGGGTCCACCACATCTTGGCATCGCGAGCGATTGTTCACTGGCACATCTTGGAACATTGCAAATTGGTTGAAGAATTTCATATATCACCTATAGATATATCACCTACAAACCATAGTTATTGATAGATATATCACCAAGAAACCAGCTATAGATATATCACCTATAGATATATCACCTATAAACCAGCTATAGATACATCACCTATAGATATATAACCTATAAACCATAGTTATTGATAGATATATCACCTATTAACCAGCTATAGATATATCACCTATAGATATATCACCTATAAACCAGCTATAGATACATCACCTATAGATATATCACCTATAAACCATAGTTATTGATAGATATATCACCTATAAACCAGCTATAGATATATCACCTATAGATATATCACCTATAAACCAGCTATAGATACATCACCTATAGATATATCACCTATAAACCATAGTTATTGATAGATATATCACCTATTAACCAGCTATAGATATATCACCTATAGATATATCACCTATAAACCAGCTATAGATACATCACCTATAGATATATCACCTATAAACCATAGATATTGATAGATATATCACCTATAAACCAGCTATAGATATATCACCTATAGATATATCACCTATAAACCATAGTTATTGATAGATATATCACCTATTAACCAGCTATAGATATATCACCTATAGATATATCACCTTTAAACCATAGTTATTGATAGATATATCACCTATAAACCATAGTTATTGATAGAGATATCACCTATAAACCAGCTATAGATATATCTGCCCGTGACTCATAGACAGATTCCAATGATGCATGTTACCTCTGGTTTAATGCTCAACACGGTGGAATATGTGGATTTTTCTGTGGCTTTGTCTGAAATGTTCGGAGGGTGCCCCATCAAACCCATCATATGCTTGATCATCATATTCTCCATGAACTGCATAACTATGGAAAATCTCCATTTCAAATGGGTAAATAAACTATTTCTATGGCCATTTTCAATAGCTATGTAAACGTTTACCAGAGGGTAATCATATATGCCCATGATACGTGTCCAGTTGAAATTGTCTGAAAAATGTCAGAGGAAAAGCCTAATATTTTCTGGTTAATCCTTATCTTCCCCGTTTCAATTGTTGTTTCATGGCCATAAATTGGGGCTGAGTCCCTTGCCAGATGTCGACCCCACGACGCCACTGTCCCTGTCCAGGTTTTGGAGCCTACGCTTTTATCCCCGATGCCGGCTTTGTGGGAACGGTCTTTGTGAACGCCATGTCAAACTTGTTTCTTGGTGGAGAAATGGGATGAAATGGGTGTTTTTTTATCTGGTGTGAACATGAGGTTTACTATGGTTTACCCAACATCGCCATGATATATGATGATATATGATAATATGGGTCTTACTTATCTGTACATAATTCATATAATTCTTTGGAATTGGGAATGCCGAAGCAAACTTCAGCTGCGAAAAAAAAAACGCTGAATGCCTGGTGGATTTGACCCCATCAGTGACTCGTGTCGCCTGCGTCAAAGGCTTGCCACCATGGCCAGAGATGTGGTGGTCACCCTGAGATCGACCCGCCTTTACCTTAGATCTGGAAGTCGAAGTCATGGCTGTCTGGTTAGTTTACTGGAGGGTGGTGACTGGAACATGGAAAATCCATTAAAAATGATGATTTTCCCATTAAAAATGGTGATTTTCCATAGTTATATGGGATAATAGTATATAATCTGGTTGGTGGTGACTGGAACATTATTTTTTTAATGACTTTCCAGAAACAGTTGGGAATGGAAAATCATCCCAACTGACGAACTCCATCATGTGTCAGAGGGATTGAAACCAACCAGTCATGGCTGTGATGTTCCCATGCGGCTCGGAAATCATCTGCTGCATCTCTTCGCAGTGTGGCCACTCAGGAAAAATGACTGTACTGGGAGGGCACCAGATAAGCCAAAACGAGGCGGGGCAAGTTGGCACGGCAGGCACTGCCTTTCACACGGCGGAATCGAATAGAAAGACGACTAGGTTTCGTTTAAGTTTGACATGTAAAAGTCACAACATCAACTGACCGGAAACCCAAGATAGTTCAAAACAAAATGGAAGTCTTCAATAGCTATTTGTAGAGTTGAAACAACTCAAGTTATTTATAGTTATTTATATTTATATGGAAATTATCTAAAGACCTCAGATTCGTGTATATATATATAGATAGAGAGAAGTGATCTTTAAGGGAAAATCTACAGGAGAGATGGTTTTCTGTAACCCAGGAAATTTCACCCATGGCTCACGTTGGATTGCCTCTTTGTGTCTCTATGGGCTGATTGAAAACCGTTGTGTTTTGTTGCTTTTAACAAGAACAAGTGCCAATCTTTGTTATAAAATTGGTCTAAGCCCCATTTTATTCCAAAAGTCATATCCCGCCATCACAAAAACTTGTATCCCCAATAGATATATAGAAAACTTTTTGGAAGGTGACTATGAGGGAAATTTGACAGCAAACCATAGCAAACCCCTACCGGGAAAACCACCGAGATGTTTATGCCAATTAAATCACCATGAACTATTCCGTTAAACCAGTGAAAGCCCCATTCTATGTCAGTTTTTCCAGCGCAGCTTCCGGTAGGTCACCACTATCGACCTCGGCACCTTGCAGTTTGGCCAGGCAGTGGCAATGGCCAGGAATAGCCGGGCCTGTTTATTTTTCATGAGAATAGAACTTAGATAATCCTCCATTTTTTTGGGGAGGATTCGGTGGAACTATAATCCTAAACATCCTAAACTCGTTGAAGGATTTGTAAGATTTATGGATTGGGGATTTGTAGGATTTATGGAATTCTCATGATGACTGGTATATCAATGTGGATTTGAGTATAAAACCGTATAAAACCAACCTTTTCATGGGGATATGATGGGTGAATGGTTGACACTTCAGGTTTTATGAGTCGGTGTGTTTGATAATTAAGATGATCAATGGATAAATGATGTGTACCCTTTCAAATCGCTTCCTGTTTTGAAGATGTGCCTTTTCTCCTCACTGTTTTCTGCACTACTCTGCAGTTTGGAGGTACATGAGCGGATGCGACATGAATTTTCCCGGTGCTACAACTTCTTGGACAGATTGTAATTGTTCAGCAGGTCATTGGGACATGTTGATGGAACGAAAGTGTTGTTGGATCCCTCCATTTTTTTTCCGCAAGGCGCCCTTTGTGCTCCTTGCCCCATGTTGACTGTATGACTCTTCATTCAGCATTGCCTGGTGTGTTTTTTGGTGCTTTCTGCCCAGACCAAAGACGTTGTGGTGATGCTGGATGGTCCTGGATCCCAGCCTGATAAACGACCCAGCGGAGATCGGCCCAGCCTGGCGTGCCATAGTTCAACCTTCTTGGAGTTTTTTCCCGATTGGTTTCTGTAATCCACCATTTGGATCCATTTGGGGAATCTACATGGTAATATGAGTAATATGTATTAATATGTGATATATATATATATATATTATATAATGAAAAATTGTCTATACAGGGTATAATTATACGTGTTATTGTTTATAGTTTATGGTCTCCTTAAGTAAATCCCAGGTGAGGGCGAAGTTGAAGCCATGGTGGAGTGCGCATTCCCTTGCCCAGTGTGGACACATCTCATGATAACTTCGACAGCACCACAATCTTTAAAGGCAGACATTCTTCGATTCCGCCCGTTGGCAGGTATCTCACACCAACTGGTCCCGGAAGAGTAGCAGCACGAGGTTTCCACCAAAGTTGTGGCAGTGGTGACGGCTGACATCCTTTGATTGATGATGATTGTAATACTTTTAATTTTAATTGGCCATGCTTAGAAGTATCAGTGTAGTTGTTTTGATTGTTCCGGAGCTGATACTTGAGACATTAAAGAGGCATTTTAGCATTGCTTGTCACATTGACGAGAATTTCCTTATGTCATAGCATCGCCAAAAACATGTCGCAATGATTCAGACTTGTTTAAACAAAAAACAAAAACGTATACACGTTTGAACCAACCTATCTACTATACATTGGTTCAGACATCCAGGCTGTGCTGAAGATGGGTGAACCAACCCATCAGGGATCCATGAGGGGGCTCTTCTACCTTGGTCTGCCGCAGGTGGTGCAGACCCATCACGGGTGCGTCTCTCAGTTCGTGATGGACATGGTGCAGACCCAGGTTACCCCCTTAAAATGGCAACTTTGAATTGCAAGCTTCTATATTTTTGGGATACTCCAACCCAATCAGGTTGGTGGTTTGGAACGTGAATTTTATTTTTCCCATCATATTTGGGAACAACACTATCCCATTTGACGAACTCATATTTTTCAGAGGGGTAGGTCAACCACCAACCAGCAATTTTTGGGAATACTAGACATGGCAACTTAATGGAGTTCCATGACAAACCGTTGGATTAAAAATGGGTACCAACCGGAGAAATCTCGAAGAAAATGCGCGACTCTTGGGACGAAAAAAATCACCCATCCCCATATTGTTGGCGAGGAGTATGTATATTTATATGCACATATGTGGCACATATCCTGTTATATGAATTTATATTCCATTATATTCCATATTATATTCCATATTATATTCCATATGATATACATATCCCATCACATCCTAAAGAAATGGTTGGTGATAGCCCCCAGTGACGACCCAAGGTGGAACCTCAACGCTTGCGGCTGAAGGCAGTGGATAGCATCCAGCAGGCATCCTCAACGGGCGCCGGGAGTAAGCGTGTGTAGAGTTAGCGGCCCAAATCACCGCAGTTTTTTCGAGAGTTTTGCGATATTGATAATATTATATATATATTTATTTGTTTATTTATTTATTTATTATTATTTATTCTTATTTATTATTATCTATTATTATTTGTTATTATATCATATCATATTATATTATATTATATTATATTACTTTTGTGCAGGTCAAATATCAACGAAATGTGTTTTCCCCATCCACAGGGTTCTTTTTGTAGGGCCACAGGGATTGTTCATTTCAGTGGGATGGCTGAAACATTGGAAAATTTACAGGAAAAAAACAAGGTGTCCTGTAGGATTTGTCATTTTTCCCTATAAATCTATAACTTATAGCATCTTATAGCCTTTTTCAATCTATTGAGATATGGATCAAGCATTTTGGTAGCCACACTTTATAGCCCTCAATGATCAAAGCCTCTAGGCACTTAACTCTAGGGCCTTGGAATGCCTTGGATGCTGCCGTGCTCGAGCAGGCAATGAATGCCTTGAAATTGACTGCGATGGATCGTGCAAATGGCCGGAAACCCAAGGAACTAGACTCTGAAGCCTTGATTTTGTAACATCAGACAGATTCAAAAAGCCGATTTGCGTGTGAACCTTGGATGGATAGTTTCATATTTATATATATATATGTATATACTCTACGTTTTAATACTTAGATCGGCTATGAATGGTGATGTTTCTGAACCAGTTTTGGCCATGCTGGCCTCAACAAGCTGCTTAACTCAATGCCAGTTCTAGGCAAACCACTCCCGTTGGAGGACGCCGATGGCATCATCAAGGTGTGTTCCAGAGCGAAATCGCTGTCATATGCCTACTTCAATTTTTTGACATCTTTTGGGAGTACATCTCATGACAAACATCATTTCACATCCCATCTTTTTGGAGAAACATAATAGCTTACCCCCTGGTAAATTAACATAGACCCTGAAAATCACCAATTTTTAATGGAAACTAGTCTTCCAACCCCTATCTGCCAGGGTCTATGTTAATTTACCAGAGGGTAAGTTAAACACCTAGAAATGGCATCCCAGAAAGAACAGAGTATAGTAACCCTGATGCCGAAAAG